GTCTAATCCTACAGCTGACCCCAGAGATTCCTGCAGTGCTCAGGAATTGTTGTCTGTGAGTGACATGAGTCTGGGAAAGGTGACCTGCCAAGGCTTGTCCTAAACTGAGCACAGTGAACCCCTCAGGACCCAGAAATTGAGTAGACTTTAACATGAATTGGGTTAGGGTTAGAGTTAGGATTAGGCTTGGAGCCTGAGGATACAATGGGATACATATGACTTTCTGACTGATTTGGTTTTCTCATCTCTTGGTTAATATTAAAGAAAAAGTTGAATTGTTCAATGTGAGTTTATATTTGGATTTACCAAAGCTGACAAACTTCCACTGATACAAGATTTACAAGCAGAGGGTAGGGTTTAGGTTAGAGAAGGCTGAGGGGCAGGGCTGGGGCAGGGCAGCTGGGGCTGGCCCATAAATTTCTTCACCCTGTCAGTAAGTGAATGTTTTATAGCCTGTAGTACCATAGTTTTGGATCTCACTTAAGTTTTTACTTGCATGTGGCTTTTTTAATGTATACGGGTTTTAAGTCCAACTTAGGTGTTTTTATTGCTGAGACACCCCATCCTTTTTTGGACTCCTTATATTCTCTTGGCCTTAGTAGTTTGTTGGTAATGCTAACTGCATGTGCTGTACACATAGTGGTTCCTCCTGGGTGCCAAGCAAAGAAGGTGACAAAATGTCACATGTAAAGTGCATATCACAAGTTTATTCTTCTGCACAAACAAATAGAAAGTGACTGTAAATTGAAAAAAAAAGACAAAACAGAAAAGGAAAAAAAAGTATTTCCATAAACAAAGATGCCAACTCTGTTCTTCTGGGGTCACATCTTCCACCAGACAGAGCACTGCTGCTGGGCTCCCATTTTCAGAGCACTGACGAGTCTCTTCTAAGAAGAGGGTAGGGGATGCTGGATATTATAGCAGAAAGGGAGCGTATTCTTTCTGAGGGACAATCTTGGCTTGTGCTGTGCTCATATCTGGCGATCAGTGACTCCTGATCACACCAGCCTCTTCTGAGATTCTTCCTCTCAGCTGCTGCAGGATCTTGAGGTTATCTCTGGCAAGTGTTTCCATATATTCAGAGGGAAAGGACTGATACTTCTGAAGCAAGATAAACCCCCAGAATTGCCATAGCTGCAACGTGTAACCTGCAGCATGCTAGAGAGGAGGGGTGATAGGCAGTTTTAAATCAGAGCCCATGCAGACATCTTCAAATGCTTAATAAGGGAACACTGGGGTTTGGCCTACCACTGCAGCTTATAACTTAGCAGGTGGGAGCTAAAACTTACCAAACAACTCTTTATGTCTGTGCTTGTTCAACAGCTGAGGAATTAGAAATTTGGAGAGGCTCAAGACAAGCTTATATGGTTCAAAAGTATTCTTTGTAACCTCACCTGTGACCTTTCTAACAGGCCAGCCACAATATTTTCATGAGCAGACACTAGCAGAGCTTCTTGAAGCCAGCAGTAGTGCAGGTTTCTTCCTTATAGCTTAGCAGATGCATCTCAGTGTTATTTCTCATCTCATGCTTCTTCCAGCCACAGGCCTTATTTGGGATACACCACAAGCTCTGTAGGCCTCATCTGCAGCACCCTCTGCTTCTGCAGATCAAGTCCTGTGTCAGCATAGGATCCAGAAAAGATGGGGAGGGGCTGAGATCCATCAAACTACTTTGGCTTTGCTTCTAAACATAGCTTTGAAGTGAGGATGTTGAAAGTGAAATGCAGGATCCCCAACCTCCTGGTTCTTTTCCTTGCTCTGATGTTTAATATTCGTTCTCCAGTCGGACCTACCCTTTTTTCATCTCCTGCCCATCACATTGTCAGAAATGATGGGCCAAATGCAGTTATTTGACTCACTTGGGTCCTGACATCTAACATTCAACAGTGTTTGGCCATCACTCCTTGGCTTGCATCAGTGTCTCCCAGAAATCTGGAGTGGGACCACTGAAATACTCACCACATGCTATCTCCCTTACATGCTAAGACCAGACCTCTCTTCTTTTCCAGGGGCAAAATGAATTTCCTGAGACACTCGGGCCCTGAGAGCACTTACCTTTAGGGGCCCGAGGGAAAGGGACACTGGAGTAAGATTCAGACTTTCTGAGGTTACTTCTTCACTGCAGAATTATCCTGAGCATCCTTTCTCTGGTCCACACAACCTCTCCCTACACCTGAGTTCAGTAATGCTTTCAGTCTCAGCGTGCTTGTCTGTCTAAGGCTAGTGGCTAAAACCACTAGCCAGTGACAGACAGCACTCCACAAGGAGACTAGAGATGAAGCTTTTGGAGCACTGCTAGTCCTTGAGTTCCTTCCCACAGCTTTCATAGAAAAACAGAAGACTCCTCCTTCCATGTTTGGGAAGAATCACAGAGATTCAGCTTGCTACAGCACACAGGATTTTTTTTCCAGAAATGCTGGCAATGCAATGCAGCACAGGATGAATGAGAAACCAATTGTCCAAGTTAGGTTTTGTAGTATGGCTGCTCCCCTTCACCAGAGCTAAGTGGATTCTGGTGATCTGAATTAACTCTGTGGTGATGACTTGTGCTAAGACCTCCCCTCTGGGGCTTTCCAGGAACATATACAATTGCCTCATCAGTTCAGGTCGGCTGCTCCTGTGTCATACAACAGAGGTGCAGCACCTCTTCTGACTCATCCACCCCTTTGCTCATTTGCTCAAGGCATTCCCAAAGGTTTTTTCTCCATCCTCTCCCATGGCTGATAGTCTGCCAAGTGAGGTGTAAGTGCTGTCCTCCTCCCTCCCCAGCATGTTCATCCTACATTTCAGGGCCCCCAGGAATGTGCATTGCAAACACAGGCCTGCAGAACAAGCCCAGCCAGAGTGCGAAGGATTCAAAGACAGGATTGTGTATTACTTTTCCTTTTCTCTCATTCTCTCCCTCACAAGCTTGTCTGGGACTAGAACTGCTAGCTAGGTTCTCCAGCCCTCTTTTTCTTTGTGAAAGAGCACACATGCAAAATCTCCAGGTGCTCACAGAGAAGCATTTTAGAGCCTTCAAGAAAAAGTAGAGCCCCCACCTTTTGTGAAAAGAGCTACACATCGTAAGCTCCAGCTGTGCGGAGGAAGGTTGGCTTGGACTTAATGTGAAACTACGCTGGCTGCACTGCTTACAGACTTGGCATCAGCCCCATTTGCCCTCCTTTTTTTCTCCCCAGAACCTACAGTTTTGTACATCCAAAGTTTGTGCTCAGTCCAGTCAGAGAACAGCTTCTGCTTGAAGGAGAGAAGCAAGTCTAATGAGATGGAGACATGTCTAAAGCAGGGCTATGAGACCTCATCCTGCCTCCAGTACTCATTCCTGAAGGTCCGGCAAAATGTTGGGCAACCCCTGCCCAGGAAGAGGTGGCAAGCCGCTTCCCTGCAGGTGGGGCATCTGCTGCGTTTGGGAGCCAGTGCTTCAGGAGCAATGCTTTCTTGGTGTCCTTGTGGGATCACACTGTAAAAGCAACTGCTGCAAAAGCAGGAGCACAGGCAGAAAGCAAATGGCAGGGATGTGTGTAAACCAGAGCACAAATGACATGCACACACACATGTACAGCCTTTACTAATATCCTGAATTCTTCCTTGGGAAAGGGAATGCTTTATTCTGTATGCCTTTAGTGTAGGGATTAAGTGTGAGGCTAGCCTGGGACATTCAAGGAATAACCAGTCCTGTTTCCCCAGCATCACCAGCAAATTGAGCTCTGAATGTGTGCGAGAGTGCAGATCCTCTGGGACTCTCAGAGCACTTCGGTTCTTACCAAATAGACCCCAAGGATACTTAAATAATTTCCTATGAAATTCTACTTGTGACTTTCTGTTTCCCTGTCCTCCACTTCCATACTGAGAGCATCTGTAAAAGAGCTCTATTTTCCAGGTCATCACAGAGTTTTCAACAAGTTTTATGTTATGAGCCATTGCCAATCTAGCCACACTTCTGTCCTAAACTAAACAAAAAGATGATGTGCAAATGCATATTCAGTCCTGTCTCCTTTTAAAGCCAACTGTACCTTCTCCCACACAATCCTCCTTTGTACTTACAGCATCTGTATCCTGTTCCAGTGGGACTAATGCTGCAGGACTTTCCTTGCGCCAACCAGCCACTGCTGGAGCTTGGCTTTGACTTTGTGTATCCTCAAAAACTGATACTTCCTTCTGCGGTTCCTCCAGCTTGATAGTCCCATCAAGTCCATTCAATGCCCCTCTGGCAAACTGCTCCCAGACCTGATGGCCATGTTTAGCACCAGCTAGGATGACTCTCCCTTTTACCCCCAGCCCTGGTGACTGGAAGAACGGGCAAACACGGCCACCCTCCTGTGGAGGGCACACTGCCCACGCGTGCATGTGCAAACGCCCTCTGCTCTCTTGCCTCCTTTCCCATGACCCTCCGGAGGGGAGTCTGGGAGAAGTGCCCAAGGTGAAGCCCCACTTCTACTTTCACTCCCTGCTGAGTGCTGCTGTGTGCATGTGTGTGCATGTGTGTGTGTACACACAGGTGCATGTGTACAGACTGACAGGCTCAGAGAGAAGCAGCCTAATGGGGAAGCTAGGGCTTCTGTACTGTAATCCCACCTCTGATCCTTTCTTCCTGGAAAGCTCTTGCCCCCAATCTCCCTCCTTTCAGAGGTGACTCCAAAGCCCTTGGAAAAGGAAAACCACTACCGTCTACATGTCCTCATGTAAGACAGCCCCTGCCATTCACTCCCTCCAGAGGTGGGCTTTGCTGCTGCATGCAAGTTCCCAGTCTCTGTGTACCACACACGTGCCCTCTCTCCACATTCTTCCTCCTGCTGTAGCCACAGCCAGTAAGCCTTGCCATGAAGTTGCCCATCTGAGACCAAGGGGAGGTTGGGGAGAGGGTGGTGCAGAAGGGGCATAATTTTTTTTTTCTCTTTTCTTCATTTTGTGTCACTCACCCCAATGTACTGAGCTGACAAGAAAGACAAAACGAGCACTACCTCTGCGGGGCCACGGACGGGATGGGAGGGGTGCCTGCCTCAGTGGTGGCCAAAGCTCGGCCTCCACACATTGGCCTGCATCCCTGTTCTTGCTGCTGAGAATTTGGGCCTGGCCACCTGAAACCGAGAGGCCGAGGCTGGGTTTGGGGAGGGCCCCTGGCCCACCTGACTGGGCTCTGGGGAGCTCTGGTATGGCTTAGGGGACTGGCTGAGCTCCACATGGAAGGGCGCCAGTGTAGTGGGGGCAGAAGAGGCCATTTCTGTTCTCCACACTGGCTCATCCAACGTGGTGGCCGAGCGGGGCACAAGCACGGTGGGTGCCAGGCTGCTTGAGGCTGGCATGGGAGCCGGAGTGGAGAAGCGACGAATCTCCTGGGTCTTGGCTGTTTTCACGGGGACCTGTTTGGCTGCCGTGAAGGACGAGCTAGCCTGCAGGGCTGGCTGACCAGGAGACTCCTGAATGCTGGGGCTTGGGGGATCCCCAAAACAGAACATGGCTGACTTTAATTGATAGGGCTGGTGGCGCATTAAATCAATGACCTTGATCCCTGATTTCTGGCCAGGTGCCTTTTTCACTTTGCTCTCTGCTTTGCTAGCCTGAGATTTGCTGGCTGCCAGGGGATAGAAAGGGGAATGCATTGGGTTGTAAGCTATTGGAGGGGGAGCCCGGATGTTGGGTGAATATTTCCAGGATGAGGGTAGAGAAGGGGAAGGAGAGGGGGTCCTGGGCTTGGACTCTGGCTTCGGTGTTGTCTCCACCACAAATTTGTCCATGCGGCTCTGGCGTTTGGCAAAGAGCTCTGCCCCCTTGCCTTTAAGCTGAGGCATGTCCTGGGCCCCATTTACCAGTCCAGCATCTTGCTGCTGAGGCTTAGGAGCCACTGGAGGTGGGGTCTTGAACTTGCGGCCAGAGGACTGCATGAAGTTGCAGGCCTCAGCACCCAGGCTGAGGAAGTCCTCCTCAGGCCCAGACTCAAAGCCTGCCCCATGGTGGTCACCTTTCGGCTTCTCATCCAGGTTCTGCACCAGAGACAGGAGCTCAGGGTTGGGTGAATTCTTCTTCTTCTCCTCAATCTTACTGAACATGGGTTTCTTGTTGCCCCGCCGGCGAGCCTCCTGCAGGATGCCTGTGCGGGGAGCCGGCACAGCAATCCTCTGCTCCCTGGAGGTTAAGGGCTCAGAAGGAGGTCGTGGCATTGCTGGTGAGACGGCAGGAGAAGGCTGCTTTGGCACGGGAGAACTGCTTATTGTGTGCTGTGATGGTGCTGGACTAATATACAAAGAAGAAGAGGCTGTTCCAGGGACTCGTGGCTGGGATGCTGCAGAGGCCACCTCCCCTCCTGGCTTTGAAGGAGCTGACAGAAAGATAGAGGTGGTGGATGTCCGGGCAGTGTTGGCAGAAGGCTTAGTCTCTGGAGCACTTCCTCCCCCTCTTGGCTGTGACTCCAGAGGTGGTGTTGGCCTTCCTGGTGCAGGAATATACAGAGATGTGGAGGAGCTGACAGGACTGCGGTGTGTTGGCACCGGTGCATTGGCAGGTGTTCCTGGAGCCAGAGGTGAGAAAGGGGGAACCACCGTGCTTTGCCCAGCCAGACTTTCACTAGGTTTTTTGGGTGCAGATGGCCTGAAGATGACAGAGGATGTTGCTGGGCGTTGGCTAGAAAAGCCAGGAGTAAAGGGCCGTGCAGACCTGTTGAACATGCTTGTTGTGCTTGCAGAGAAGGGGTCAGGGGTGCTTGGGGGAGGTGGGAAGAAAGTGGGGCTAGGGGGAGCCAAGAGCTGAGCAGGGAGGGTGGCTGGCTGCTTGCTGGGCACTTGCACACCTTCCAGGTGGATGCTGAGGGGCACGCTGTCTACCTTCTGTGGCACAGGCATATCTCCGTTCACTGTGCCCTGCTGTGGCTGGGCGGCTGGGGCAAGCTGGGGGCTCTTCTGCGCCGAAACTTTCTCGACTGTGTACTTCCCAGCCCGTTCCCTCTGCTGCTCAAATAATCGTGCTCCTTTACCTGAAGCCTCAGTCAAACCTTTTTGCTTCTCTTCCTTCTTTTCAGAGTCAGACTTGGCCTTTTCAATGTCCAGGTAAGCGTTGTCCCAGTCTGAGTGATTAGTTAGGCTTCGGGCATCAGAGAAACCTTCCTCATCAAATTCAGACTCACTAGTTGGAAAAACTCCGTCTTCCTCCTCGTAGGAGCGGTCTTCATCAACACTCCCAAAGCTTACCAATGTATACTTCTTAGCCCTCTGCCTGCGCTTCTTGAACATCAGCACTCCCTTGGAGTGGGGATTGGGTGCATCTGTCAGCAGGGATGCAATGGTTTTGCACTTGGTTTTGGCTTCTTTCACGTTCTTCTCTTGGATGCTCTCGTGGCGATGGAGCTCTGCAAGAGGCAAAAAGAGGCAAGCTCAGAGCTCAGCAAGAGGCTGGGTGGGCAAAGATGGACAGTGATATGGCTATAGGTATTCTCATGCCCATACGAGGAAACACACTGTCACCCCCTGCCCTTCTTTTTCTTTCCTGCCTTTGCTGATAGTGTCTTTAGGAACTGCTGATAGAAACCTGGGTGCACTTTGCTCTTTCCCTGCAAACACAATAGAAGTCCATGCAGGTGTGGGGAGGGAACTCTTCCCCACTCTGACAAACGGTCTGTGTTTCCTGGTCAGACCTGGGATTTCCTATTTCTGCAGCATGTAGCCAAGAGTCCCAGGCTGTATCTCACAGCATTTTTATAGTGCATCCCCTTGCTCCTGGGATTTTTTATCATTTACTTATCACCCTGAAGGTGGAGCCCTGCTTTTTGTAGACCTTCCTCCTACCGTATGGAGAATTCCCAGGAGCAAGCAATCCCTCTGGCCCTGAGAGTTTGGGAAGCAGCTGCTATTACTGTTAGCACCCATGCGTGTGTGCAATGGGAGAGGTGCTCTGCAGGCACAGCCAGGCTACTCCTGCTCTGGGCCTTGCAGTGCCAGCTACAGAATCGGAGTGTCTTGCAGCAGCACTGTGTGCAGGGCTGTTCGCTGCTCTCTGCAGTGGGCCTGCAACAGCCAGGGCCTTGCTGCAGTCCCTTGCCTGTGCCCCATGCCCAGCAAGGAAGAAGAGCATTTGCTCCTGAGCAAGAATCCGAGACCTCCACAACTGATCAGCCAGGCCAGAAGGAATCCACTCAGACAGGCTTGCTTGGAAAAGCCAACACCTGTTGGGACGCTGGCATGAAAGTGTGGGATAATCATTTTCCACCTGCCCTGCCAGCCCAGCAGTCAGTAAAGCCCCAGGGAGGAACGTTGTGTTCCCTGTGTGCAGGGAAAGCAGGGGGTGAACAAGATTCAACAGTAAAATCAAACTCAGCTGCCCTAAGCAAGGTATGGACATGCCTTGAACCAGTGTTCAAGTGACAGAAATCAGCGCTAACCTTGAGAGAACATACCTAAACCATAGACTAATTTCTGATTTCTTTCATTTCATCCTTTTCCTTACTCCCATTGTCTTTTTCCCAGCATGATAGTACAGATGAAACATCTATTCACTGCCTGCATTTAATAATTTGTCAAAAAACTGTGTAGCACTGTGTCGAGCCCTGACGTTCCCCAGAAAGAGGTACAAAATTGTGCACTGCTGAAGGGAGAGGAGCGGAGACGAGAGGACAGCTACAGGCAGACCATTTTATCACAGAGCATTCATTCAATGGGGTTCAGCTAATGTGGCAAAGTTACCTGCAGTGGGGGACAAGGAGCTTAGCTAGGAATGATACTAGTTCTCTTGAGGTCTGCAGATGCCCCCCAGAACCTGGTTAGGCTGCACAGTTGTGGCAGGTGTCGTCATTCCATACTGCACCAGTGTAACCACAGCAGAAAGAGCTTCCCTCTCACCCCATGCTGAAAACAAGGTGTTGATTTGCAGAGCAGTCATCCTTCCAGGAAGCTTAACATAAATACAAGGAAAGACTCTTCTCAAGGTTTGCAGCCATTCCATAGCACATGCTGCTTTGGGATTTCAACAAAGAGACTTTGGCGATCTGAGATCACCTCACGTGGGTGCAGAGTCCATTACTCCCCTTTGCATCCAGAAAACAGCAAAATCAATGCTGAAAAAATGGCTCACTATTTGTACTCGCACTTGCAAAGGGAAGGCTCTCTGAAAAACTTTCCTTACAGAATGACCCCACCTTGCTGAACCAAGACTGAAGTAGGTTCCAGGTTTTTGTGGAGACTTACTGCTCTTCAGGGCAGTCGTAGACTTGCCCTCAAAGACCTGCCGTCCATGATGGAAATGAGCTACAGTCCCTGAAGGTCTGTCTGTCCACTCCACTTAGAAATCTGCACGCATGTGTCTCTGGAGGTTGTTCACAAGGGAGGAAATAAGGGAGATTTCTTTCTTGCTACAAGCATCCTTGCTACAAGCTACTCCACCTCACCTGGCTTGTATTTTGCTTCTAAATCTACAAGGAGGAAAAGCAGCACTGCTAAGTCCAGAATATGTAAACTCTGGGCCCTGAGTGACTCACAGGAGGATTTCTGGCATCAGGAGCTAACAGCTAGGGAGCTACACCATCCAAAGTGAGTGTCTGTGCAGCCCCTTCTGGCAGCAGAGTACCATGAAAGTGCTCAGCTCTGGGCTAGCAAATACTATCAGAGAAAATATAACAGTTGACAGTCTTGGCTATGCCTCCACCAACTCTCAGTCCTGGCTCAGCATTAGCATCCACGCACAACTTCCCTAGGAAGTCACTCTGAACTGCCCTGTGCTCTGAAGCAGCTGGCGAGTAAGGCCCTCTGGGACCTGCTACTCGCCCCTATCTTCTCTTCTTCCTACTTCCCTTCTCATCAAAAGCTAAAGCACATAAACAATTATACTGAACATCCCAACAGAAAAATGATCATGGTATTCAAGCTACGTTCTCCCACAACAGTTTAAGAAAAAAGGGAAAGACCCAAAGCCTCCCTGATTTCTTCCATGCCTTTCTATGGGTACAAGCCACATCTGCTAACTCTTCATTTCACTTATGTATCACAGAAGAGAAACTGCCCGTTTATGTCACAGTGAAAAATGAATGCTGGAGTGGGACAAAAGGTGAAAAGAAAAGAAAAGAAAAGAAAAGAGAAAAGAAAAGAAAAGAAAAGAAAAGAGAAAAGAAAAGAAAAGAAAAGAAAAGAAAAGAAAAGAAAAGAAAAGAAAAGAAAAGAAAAGAAAAGAAAAGAAAAGAAAAGAAAAGAAAAGGAAAAGAAAAGAAAAGAAAAGAAAAGAAAAGAAAAGAAAAGAAAAGAAAAGAAAAGAAAAGAAAAGAGAAAAGGAGAAAAGAGAAAAAACATAAAAGAGAAAAGAGGAAAAAAAGAAAAAAAAAAAAGAAAGAAAGGAAAAGGGAAAAGAAAAAATAGAAACGAGGAGACATCTGTACCTGCATAAGGCTGATCCAAGCTTGAGAAGGCAGAGTCCAGACCTGGAGAGCTGGGCATGTCACAAAGCCCGTTTAATTCACAACTCCCCATAAACAGAGAGAGGCAATGAGAGAGAAGCAAAGCAGTTCTCTGCTGGAGCAGAACCAAAACTCTGAGGTGTCCAAGCCCTTTGCTATCAGCTCCACAAGCCTTTTAAAGCCTCTCTTTTGTCTCGTAGGCATTGCTGCCGAAAGCCATGAGGTCACTTTGTCTATTTTTGTCTTCTTAGCTTCATCACTGAGCAGTGTGATGGACATTGTCACCTGGCACTTAAATACCCTCCTTCTTTCCCCCACTCTCTACTCCCTGTGAGGAGAAACTCCTCTTTTTTATTTTAAAATAAGAAAATAGACTCTATACTCTCACTGCTTCTGTGGTGCAAGCTTCAGGTTAGAAAGGTGCAAGCTTCAGCTTAGTGCTTCCAATGCCTCAATGTCCAGCATTTCTTTGCTAAAGAGCCTTTCAAAGAGATGAGACTAACACAGTGCTCATGTCCAACATGGACAGGCAGAGAAACCCAACCAGGAGGAAAGCAACTTTCCTTGTGTGAAATCCTCAGAGAGCACCCAGTTCCAGGTAAATATAAGGAAGGAAAGAGAGGAGAGGCTTTCTTTTCCTGTGTATATCAATTTCCTTCCATGTCTGAGGACAACCAGTCCATGGTACAGATTCTTGTTGTGTACCAGGACTGAGGGACATTTAACAGAGGAGCATTAGGATCCTGGGTGCCTGTAGTGAAGTGGTTTAGCTGAATTAAAATGGCAGAGGCTGCTATGTACACCACTGAAGAGTGTGGCTGTGCCCAGGGAGGGTGATGGAACATTTTCAGGCCAAGGAGTGGTGTTTTGGCAGCACCATTCAGAGCTCCAGCACTGGAGACTGAGAGGTGTTCAAAGATGAGATGCTGATAGTGAGGACTGGGGTGGACAGGGAGGAAGGGAACAGAGGGTGCTGGGAGTCTGCAGATCTCTGCAGTTGTGGTCTGCTCAGCATCTCCTCACACTTTGGCTAGGTCTGGTCTTACTGCCTTTTTCTGTACATGAGCAATAAGTCCTGTGAGAGAATCCCAGAGCTGTGGCCAAGGGACACTGCCCTGTGATTCTTCCTCCCAGCAGTCCCAGCCTTAGCAACTCTGTAGCCCAGGACTGGAGCAGACCATCATCTCCAGTGTTCATGAGTCTAGAAAAGTGAAGGTCTGACCATGCCTCCTGAAATCCACTAGCCATCGCTGCATGCCACGGAAGACAACTTCCACAGGCAATGTTGCTATAAGAGAGACCTGTCATGCCTCATACAGAGGCTCTTGCAGCAAAAGCAATGTAAGTGGTTCCGTCTCTTCTTCTCTGATGAATATTTACATATCTAGGGATACAGTCTCTTTGGGAAAACCTTATAGAATCTGATACATACCATATGCAATTGGAAATGAAAATACAGCTCTGCAGTACAGAAAAAATTCTCTATTATTAAGAACACTCAAATGGAATAGATAAAAGAGTAAATGGAACGGTTATAAAACTCTCCTAAATGCTGGTATGGTGGATAATTTCTATGGAAAACTTTTTCTTAACTTTTAAAGCACTAAATTCTGTTGGAATAATCCACAAAAAGGAAAAAAATTCTATTAAGCAAAGACTACAAGGATTTTTCCATTAACTTAACTAAATTTCATTGAAGTGAAATGAATTACATTACTAATTACAGTAAAGAGAAGTGTAAAAAGGACAAATCTTTTCAAGATCAGACCCTATTAAAAAAAAAGCATTTTAATGTATGCTCAGGAAAACTACTGAACAAGAAGGCTTACATGATGTCAGATACTGTTCATGTTCACTAGGAAACAAATAACGGTAAATTTTATTACCGAAGACCAAATTCTAGAAAAGCCATTACCATAGAAAATAAGCACACTGCTAATTTCAGAAATAGAGAGCCTGTTCATCTGTGA